CCCCCAGCCTCCAATTGCGAATATAGAGAAAGTCTAAGGAACGAGAAGAGCATTCCAATGGATCCTTTTCAAAATTATCTTGAATGCGATGCTAACATGAAATACAACAAGAAAAAGAAAATCCGACGAAAGAAAGTTATTGTTAGCCTCGGTCCAAGATAATTGTGAGAAGGGCAGTACAAAGTGGTCATTGATCACACCTGGAGATTAACATCGAATGGGTCTAAAGTGCACGAATCGCTTGCGTAGTCATCCTGAAAAGCGCACTCGGAAATTGGAGGAGCGGACGAATTTTTTTTTCTTTTTAGAGATACGATGACACATAACAGATCTCCGGTGCGACCTGAAAGTCTTGTGTCCATAAAAGAGAAGTAAATAACGTGACGTCAATCTGGAGCGCCATTTTGTGAGGTGCGAACTGAGTTGTATATAGGTGTTGGAGAGAATGGCAGTAATTAATATGTATTTAAAAAAGACAGTAAGTATAAATAGTCATCGTGGAAGTGGACGCCATTTTGTACGCCTTCCATCAAGGTCTTTGTTCATATGTTTTGGAAAACGGAAATTACAATTAAAGGTGCATGTCCGTATGAAGACACTTTGATTACTGTTTGAGAACATTTTGATCTTCGTAAACTTTACGAAGAAGGCCAGATAAGTTTTCTATTTTTTTACTAATTACAAAAACCCCGTTACCCTGCCCTACATGTGATTGTATCGTTATCTGGATTCATTCTTAAAAATGCTACAATATGCAGATGGAAAGTGGTCTTCATTTAATCACAAAACATTTGCATGCTATTTTAAAGCAAAAGGAGATAGAGGAGTGGACCTTAAGCTTTTATGGGGGGTGCACGTGCACCCTGTGCTCCCCCCTGGTTACGGCCCTGGCATGTAGTCCTATCACCTATACAAATATTAATGAACTTCCTACCCCAGTCCATCCTCCTCTGGCCCTAACATGAGTCCCCAACACATTACAGACGAGAAGCGAAACTGCGATAAAGTGAAAGGATAATTAATAAGGCGTCTGATTTTAATCATCAAGTGATTTTAATCATTAACTGATCAATTTTCGTGTTTATATTAATAAGTTGATCAGTTATGATCAGAATGATTATCGTCTGTTAATAAACCCAGCTAATTCAAAATTCAAAATTCAACAGTCCTCTTAAAGGTATTAAAATTTCAAATGGTATTTATCAGTCGAAAAAATAATTTTCAAGTCAAGATAATTATTTATTTATGTCTTTTGTTCTCTCCTGTGCTTCGGGGCCTTTTTCTCCGGGTTCTAGCTCCGGTTTTCTTCCCTCCAGTTCTCCACAAAAATCAAATTCCAAATCCCAAAGTTAATCAGGAATCGAGGGCTAAGTTATCTTTCATACCCTCGCACAACAAGGCGTATTTAACTTTTATTGTAGTTGACTGTCTAATGCAATTGATGTAGGTTATGATGTTTGCTGTGTTTTTTTCTTTTTTTCATAGCTTTTTATGTAAGTAGAGGTTGTGTTTCGATTATATTTCCTGGAACAGAATAAAGTCGAGTTCACCTGTATAATATATAGTAGTCTTGAAATATAAAAAAACTATATAGTCACAAGCTTCAATATAAGCCATAATACTGAATTGCCTGAATGATTGTGTAATGATTGTATACACTTATTTCAATAAAGTTGGTCACTTGAAAAGCTATAAAGCTGAGACCGACAAGGATTATGGGTAGATACATTTTACATGTTTCAACCGCTTGATAAATGTTGATGGACTTGTGATCTTTTACCAGTTACAGTCTCACCTCTGAGCATCCTCAACTGCTGCAGTTTGTGTCAAAAGCTTTCCTTGTTGGATATGAAACATTTCCCCATGATTCTCAGCGATCACACCTTTCTAGGTTTTTGGTGACTAACTTTATTGAAATAAGTATATATGAGGCATCACGGTCCTTATAGTCCTAATCAAGAAGCTCAAAAACGAACCCTCTTTTCATAATAGGCCTACATATCTGTCAAGATGTCCAATAAAATTCTTATGTCTCTTATTATTATCATGTGCGAGATCATCTTTTCATTTTAGGATGTGAATAATCGCTATTTTGTATTCAGTATTTACAGTTAAATAATAGTAGCAAAAGCAAAATGTCTTACAAGTGGAATTAAAACTTGCTGCGTAAATTTATGCAAGAAAGACATGACATATGCTCTTATTAATTTCAAAGGGTGACATTTGGGAAAGGAAAGAAAAGGAATTAAAGAGGAGTTAGGAAAAATGGGAAAGAATCTAAACATAGTATACAAGTTTGTATGACAGTTATTGGGGACTGGTGACTAGTTACTCCGAAACGAGGCCAAAAAGGCCAAAAACTATACCCCAACCCCCCTCCCCAGAGTCATGGTCATCTCTCTCTCTCTCTATAAAACTTAGTTTTTTCATTATGAACTTTTCATTAAATGTTGTTAAATAATCCAAGGTTTCTAGGTCTGTCCTTGAAATTTCGATTCGAAAATCGTTGTCGCACCAAGAGCCTCAAGTAACAAGCCAAGGCTCCAGAGAACGTCGGTACTTTTAATTATAATTGATTTATTCATGGTTCATGCAAATGGCTATAGCTCTTCACTAATCATTATCTCAAGCAGCCTTGCTTTGAGCAATTTGTGAAGTCAATAAATGAAAATGCACCATGAATAAACTAATTACAGCTAAAAGTATCGGCGTTCTCTGCGGTCTTGGCTTGTTGCTTGAGCTTTTGGCGCGACAACGATTTCTGAAATAGGTGTATATACGCTGATGCATAAACGTATCCTGTGTGGAGAGTCTAACTTGAATAAATATTTTTTACAATATTAACTTACAAATTTCTGGCGCGCTGATTGTTTATTTTTTTATCATCAATAAGAGGACAGACAGATAAAGCTGACGTCAACGAGCGTGTGTTGGTTGTTTTGATCACTAAAAATGAGATGTTTTTATCGTTTTTGTTATTGTAAAGAACAAATAGATATCAGTTTTTATGTGACTGTCCTCTAATTGACGATAAATTTAACTGTAAATATATATCGGGGCTACGCCTCGTAGATCCACACTACTTTGACAACGTGATTACGCAATTTATCGTCAATAAGAGGACAAACACATAAAAAACTGACGTCTATTTGTTAAGAATACATAGCTGCTGTTCAGGTGGCGCATCATTCTACCAAAGAGCATGTCCAAAGACGTTAAGAATCAAGTTTTATAACTATTAATGCATCAGTCTTGGGAGTTTTCGAGGTGCCTCTTTTCTTCGGCAAAACCGTGACAAACTCAGTAAAAAGCATCCATCCATCCATCCCTCCCTCCCTCCCTCCCTCCATCCATCCATCCAACGATTACCGCGACGTAACTAAGAAAGCTATATTTGGCAAAAACTAATTCTCTATAAAATGCCATTTTGATACAAGAGACAAGAAACTCATCATTGGTTAACACTCCTTTTGAGTTGCGCTCAAAGCTACGAAGATTCTACGACATCAATCGCTTGGATGCCTTTCATTGCGCAAGGTATTGTTATGGGACGACCGCTCTCGGTACGAGCTCCGGGATCTTTATTCTACTCTCTGCGTTGAACTAATTACATGAGCTCTATTTATAATAATTCTATGACAGATGTCAGTCTCTAATCAATGTGATAATATCGTTGAAT